CTTTTTTTCTATTGGCATTTTTCTCCGCACTTTTTAGCTTTTTAATTCCTTTTTTCGACTTTTTCTCATTTTTTTATAATCTCTATATATTTTTTTGTGGCATATTTTTACCATTTTTTGTCGCTTTTTATTGCTATTTAATCGCCTTTTTTGTCGCCTTTTATAGATCCTTGTTTTACCTTTTTTTTTTGCGGTTTTTATTTGTAGCCTTTTTATCTTCTTCTTTATCGCCGTTTTTTATGGCTTATTCTTTGTCATTTCTTTTATTATAAATTTCTTATAATATTTTTATCCCAGACTATTTGGCCTTTTTCTTTCGTTTTATTTCCCTTTTTTTATATCATTTTGGTTATGATTTAGGTGTTTTTGACACCTTTTTTTTAACTTTTTTGTAACACTTTTTTTCCATTGGCATTTTTCTCCGCACTTTTTAGATTTTTAATTCCTTTTTTCGACTTTTTCTCATTTTTTTATATTCTCTATATATTTTTTTGTGGCATATTTTTACCATTTTTTGTCGCTTTTTATTGCTATTTAATGGCCTTTTTTGTCGCCTTTTATAGATCCTTGTTTTACCTTTTTTTTGCGCTTTTTATTTGTAGCCTTTTTGTCTTCTTCTTTATCGCCGTTTTTTATGGCTTATTCTTTGTCATTTCTTTTATTATAAACTTCTTATAATATTTTTATCCAAGACTATTTGGCCGTTTTCTTTCGTTATATTTCCCTTTTTTTTATAATTTCGGTTATGATTTAGGTGTTTTTGACACCTTTTTTTTTTAATTTTTTTGTAACACTTTTTTTCTATTGGCGTTTTTCTTCGCACTTTTTAAATTTTTAATTCCTTTTTTCGACTTTTTCTCATTTTTTTATAATCTTTATATATTTTTTTGTGGCATATTTTTACCATTTTGTGTCGCTTTTTATTGCTATTTAATCGCCTTTTTTGTCGCCTTTTATAGATCCTTGTTTTACCTTTTTTTTGCGCTTTTTATTTGTAGCCTTTTTGTCTTCTTCTTTATCGCCGTTTTTTATGGCTTATTCTTTGTCATTTCTTTTATTATAAATTTCTTATAATATTTTTATCCCAGACTATTTGGCCTTTTTCTTTCGTTTTATTTTCCTTTTTTTATATCATTTTGGTTATGATTTAGGTGTTTTTGACATCATTTTTTTAACTTTTTTGTAACACTTTTTTTCTATTGGCGTTTTTCTTCGCACTTTTTAAATTTTTAATTCCTTTTTTCGACTTTTTCTCATTTTTTTATAATCTCTATATATATTTTTTGTGGCATGTTTTTACCATTTTTTGTCGCTTTTTATTGCTATTTAATCGCCTTTTTTGTCGCCTTTTATAGATCCTTGTTTTATCTTTTTTTTGCGCTTTTTATTTGTAGCCTTTTTGTCTTCTTCTTTATCGCCGTTTTTTATGGCTTATTCTTTGTCATTTCTTTTATTGTAAACTTCTTATAATATTTTTATCCCAGATTATTTGGCCTTTTTCTTTCGTTTTATGTCCCTTTTTTATACCATTTTGGTTATGATTTAGGTGTTTTTGACACCTTTTTGTTTTAATTTTTTGTAACACTTTTTTCTATTGGCCTTTTTCTCCGCACTTTTTAGATTTTTAATTCCTTTTTTCGACTTTTTCTCATTTTTTTATAATCTCTATATATTTTTTTGTGGCATATTTTTACCATTTTTGTCGCTTTTTATTGCTATTTAATCGCCTTTTTTGTCGCCTTTTATAGATCCTTGTTTTACCTTTTTTTTTTGTTTTTGATTCTTTTTTACTTCCCGAGCGTAAGTCGGGTCCGTCTGCCGACTCTCTACTTTTACGTTTTTCTTGACTCCTAGAGTACGAAAAAATAGGTCTTCCGTTTCCGTCTGTCTGTCTGTCTGTCTGTCAATCTGTCTATCTGTCCGTCTGTCTGCTGTCTCCGATTTTTATCTTATCTGTCTATAATCTCCGAAAGTACTGGGCCGATTGTTGTCAAATTTTGTATTTATATTAGGAATATCATGTAGATGGTAAAACGCTAACCAAAATTTATCAAAAATTGTAACTTTTTAGTCAAATTGTTTATCAACCCAAACAATTGATGACGTCATCTCAAAATTTTGCCGAATACATATATATCCTATCAAAATTGTACAAAATATGATCAGTCGATACTTGTTTAATTTTTCTTTCCAAATTCTAAAATATCTTGAAACCTGTTCATCAAAACTAACGTCGCTATGTTTTTTTTTTTGATAAAAAATCTAAATCTATAAAAAGATATACGATGATTACGATGTTCTATAAAAAAAAAACAACAAAAATTTGTAATCTTTAATTGGAATACCTTGTACATGTGAAAATAATCTACAATAACTCTGTGTCATTCATAACATTTAGAACAGTCTGTATATACTTCCAAATAGTCCTTATTATAGATTATCTATTGTTGTTTCTAAAATAATTCAACACTTTTCATTAAAGTTGAGGAACAAAATTAATATCTAATTCTCAAGTGAGTTGTGATGTTAGCAGGATTCATTTTAGGGCCTTTGCTGTTTGTGATATACAGGGTGAATCACTGAGCTCGCGGACCTCGATATCTCATTAATTACTAGAGACAAAAAGAGTCAGACCAAACATGATTAAAATGAATTATTTTCGATTATACAGAGTGTTTCGTTTTTGAGCCATAGCACACAACTTAGTTTGTTTAAGTAAAGCCATTTCGTGAGTTTTATAACAATAGTTTGTTTTTGAGAAGATAGAGAGGTATGCGCTTTGTTGTGGTAGCAATTAAAATAAATTTTAATGTACAGAGTGTTTGAAAAATTGTAAATTTTCAAATATCGATATTTCACTTTTTCAAACACAACAAAGTGTTTGGATGTCTCTTAAGAAAGTAAAACATCGCAATAACTATCAAGTTTCAATATAGAAAATACTTAACAAAAAAGAAAGAGAACAAAAACAGAAGAAACTTCAGTAATAGAATACGATATCTTCAAATAATAATAAATTCCATCCTTCAAGTGACTGAAATTTGAATGACTGAAAAATATTAACAATAAAAACAATTTAAAATTTTTGTTGAAATTATGCAGCTCACAACTTGGATCAGCATTGGAGTATGTTGTGGTTTGATCGTACGCTTAATTAAAATAATAGTACAACGCGTTCCAAGAAAAGCCACCCAATTTTAACCCGTGTAAACCCACAATTTAATTTAAACCTCTAATTAACCACCAAAATGATCTAACATGGACTTCCAGGTTGCGCAATCTACCACAGTTCGTCGGTTTTTGGCACACCTAAACACTGATAATAATCGTTTACAAGAGCAGGTTGTGTATCAGATTAAAAAAAAATATGGTTTTTTAATTGGTGATTTGGTATGGACAATTTTCTTGCAGATACTCACGACAAACAGTTTCCGTGACTAAACTGAGAAAATTTTACGACCTTTTTACGGCCTTAATGTATTCAAATGAATTGTTGTCTTCGGTTTATTGGCACTGTTAAACGCAATTACTAGGAAATTGTGGAATAAAAATGAATTGCAAAACGGCGATGAATAATGATTGACACTAATTATTTTCCTACGGCGTGTTTAAAACACAGCTTGTAAACACATTGAGCAACATTTTCAGCAAAACTTTGACAACTTAGCAGTGTGACATGTATGAATTAGTGCTTTTGCATTCAGAAACGTTCTAGAGTGCTTTCTAGGACGCAATTGGCGTCATTTCCTCTGAATTAAATTAATTTGAAATAAATTTTTCATGATTTATTCCCTGTAGAGGTAGTTGTGACGTAAGTCGTTATCTCACTTAGGTGGTAATACCGGAAAAGTCATAAATAATTTAATTCTTCAATTATGTACCTACTTTTGTGTGGATTTATAAAAATTACACCTGGATTACATAGATCCTTAATCTTGCATAAGTGTTTTCTGTGGAAAAAACATCAATTAGATATAGTATCAAAATGACTTAATCGTTACACCGAAATTTACCAAAAACCCTTTGTATCGAATATCTTTTTTTTTATCGTAAAGGATCTACAATCAATAAAAATTCGTAGAGTGTGTCTAAAAACCACAACTTGTTGTGTAATCTTTAAATGGAAACAGTCGTCTACTTTTTTTGTTGTTGTTATCATTTAAAAGCTTTATTTCATATCGCCTCTATCTTAGTCTTATGTAAATACATCATTTTTGAGGAAAAACACAATTTGGTTACGTAACGTCAAATGCTTTTATCATTACGTGTGACAAGCAAATTGATAAGTATTGTCTGGCTTGTATTGACATTTTTTTATAACCGATAGCGACAAGTGGAATATAAAACTGAACCCACGATATTTTATTTCAAGTGTTTTAGTTCCATTTAAAAAATAGTACTATTTATTATAGCAGAATTTTAATTTTATAACATTATATTATACGAACAGTTTGAAGCTAAAAAAATGTATGAACTTTAGTTCATTACCTTACAAATGAGTCAGATAAGCAAAATTTGCGTGTAACTTGAAATTCAAAACTACCACTTTATAAAAGTAGATTATATTTTAAAAATTTTCCACATAATGCATGTAATTTAATCAGACACTTGAAGTGTTGTGATATACAGTGTCCTCCACACTATTTGTGTCTGTGCAGCTTATTTAAAACTATATTTGTTATGTGTTGACAGAGTTTTCAAGTACAAACCGGATTTATTATTTATTGACTACATAACCAGCGTGCAAATGCAGCGAAAAGTAAATATTGTGTTGTCGTACGTCAGTAATTAACGTGCAATGTATAGTAATCCGACTCAATTACTATTATTGTGTGATTTTTCCACACTAAATATAGTTTTCTCGAAAAAAAAAATAACCAAATTTTGCAATAACCGCGATTGACGAAAAAATAAATCCGTCATTTTTTTCATTTCAATATGTGTGTTAAGTTAAGTTAAGTTTCGACCTTGGAATACGCAATATCCTCGATAACTTTTACTATTCGTATTCACTTATTACACTGTTTAAACATTATTAAGCAGATATTACCCGATAAGGTCTACTTGATAAAATAACTTGCATATAATTGGCATTGTAACATTTTTGGTACTACGTATCTGATCAATAAAACCTTTTCGTGTAGTACCGCTTCAAACTCACAAACCTGTCGGACACCTGCAAAAACCCAGTAGTCAATATTGACTCCCCGTTTCCACGAATTCTAAATGTGTCATTTGCTAATAATCGTGAAAAAACACTGATATTGTTCGCATTCTTGCGTTATCTATTAATCAAAACTAACTTCGTGTTTTCGTGGGATTTCTAAATACCAATAAAGGGCAGCTCACTTTCATTTTTATCTTAGATTAGATAAATTCGCAAAGTGTCAGTTTATTTTTACATCGTTTAAGACGTGTGGTGGTACCTAGTTAAGACTTAAATATGTATGATGGTGGGGACTCCGTAAAGAAAATTAACCCCAAAGAAAAAGCCAATTTATTTTCATTAATAACATTCCTGTAAGTATTGCCTCTCCAATCTCTTAATTTTCTATTTGTACCACTTGCAGTTTCACATGGGAGCTCTTCAGGAAGGGTTTTCGGAAAGATTTCACCGAAGATGACATATACGAAGTACCTCGAAACTTTCGCTCGGCGGAGTTAGGCGATAATTTAGAAACAGAATGGGAGAAAGAAGCAGCTAAAAACAAACCGTCGTTGTTACGACTGCTATGGACTTGTTACGGAAGGTACTACCTTCTGCTAGGGGTTATCCAACTCGTGATGAGGGTTCTCATGGTGTAATTAACCCCCGACTGAGAGTGACAAGCGCACTAAATTCACTCTTCTAGGTTGGTTCAGCCACGAGCTCTAGGCAAACTCGTGTCGTACTTCACCGCGGACACCAAACTAACCCGACTTGATGCTATTTACTATGCAACCATCGTAATAGGGTTTAACATCATCAACACCACCTACAACCACAACTACATGTTCTGGATCTTGGAACTAGGAATCCGGATTAAAACCTCAGTGTGCTCTTTAATTTACAGAAAGTCGCTGAAACTAACCACGTCAAAATTGTCGGAAATTGGAATCGGGAGAATCGTGACGATTGTCTCCAAAGACGTACTAAGTATAGAATACGCGATAATTTTTCTCAACGACATGTGGATAGGTCTGATTCTGTTTGTTCTAACGTCGGCCCTAATGTACTCGAGAGTCGGAATAGCGGCTTTGGCCGGCTCTCTCTTCCTGTTGTTCATAATACCCCTTCAAGGTAACTATTCGTACCAAAATTAACAACTCCTGTCACTGTCATTGTAGTCCTTCTGGGTAAACTCACGTCCACCTTGCGTCTAAAAGGCAGCAAAATGACTGATCGCCGCCTCCAAGTCACCCAAGAAACAATCTCCGCCATCAAGATCATCAAAATGTACACTTGGGAGATCTTCTTCGGTAAGAAAATATCAGAAGCTAGGAAGGCCGAAATGAAGAAAACGCGTCAGATTTACTGGACTAAAGCCACGGCTCTTGTGACCGGCGGACTGGTCATCAACCTGACTTTATACATAATCGTGATGACCTACATCCAACTGGGTAACACTTTCACCGCTGAAGTTTCCTTCTTCATTCTGGGGTGTCTTCAAGCCTTACGATCAACCGTCACCATTTCCATACCAATCGGGATAGCTCAAACCGCCGAACTCATAGCTTCCGTTCGCCGAATTTACAAAGTTTTAGCCGCTAAAGAACAACCAGAAACCGCTAGAGACGACAAAGCCCCGAAAGCGTCAATCCAGCTCCAGCAAGTGTCAGTCGAAATCAACAACACCCAAATCCTCCACGACATCGACCTAAATATTAATTCTGGGTTGAATTTTCTGACTGGGAGACTCGGTGGTGGGAAAAGCTCGCTCTTGAAGACTATTCTTGAAGACTATCCGATCTGCGACGGCAAACTCCATGTCAAAGGTACCATGTCGTACGCAGCCGAAGAACCCTGGCTTTTCCCGTCCTCGATCAGACAGAACATCCTCTTCGGACAAGAATTCAACGAAGAACGGTACAGAAAAGTGCTCAAGGTTTGCGCCCTTGACTTTGATATTGATACTTTTGAAAAGGGTGACCACACGATTGTCGACGATCGGGGACAAAACTTGAGTAAAGGGCAGCAGGCGAGGATCGGGTTAGCCAGAGCTGTGTACTGTGATAGCGATATTTACCTCTTGGATGACTGTTTGTCGTCGCTGGATACCCAAGTGCAAAAGTTTGTGTTCACCGAATGTGTGAAAAATTTTCTTAGAGATAAAATAGTGGTTATGATTTCGCACAACGAAAATCAGTTGAAGGAAGCTGACAACATTATTCTAATGGAAAATGGGACAGTCAAGTCGGTTTTAAAACCTTCTGATATTCCAGATGAAGAACTCGAAAATTTCGTCCGCGAAAAAGACAAAGTGGACGAAGACGACATTATCGATAATATAGTGGTGGATGAAGAAGACGACCAAGAAGACGCTAAATTGATTAAGAGTAAACCAAACCAGAATATCTACCACGAAAACAAGAAAGAAGGAAGCGTCGCTTACAAAGTGTATCAAAAGTATTCAGCCTTCGGTGGTGGGTACTTAGTTCTGGTACCACTTTTCATCGTCTTTGTAGCAGCACAATTCATGACTAGCTACTCCCAGCAGTTAGTAAGCAGCTGGTAATTATTTTTGTTCAATTTGGACACCCACTAACACTCTCGTTGTAGGGTTAACATTCAACAAAACATATCCGAATACAAATCTAACACAACCAATACAACACAGTATGACAAACTAGTTAAAAAAAACTCCAAAGCGTTGACCGTCTACTCTGTAGCGGTTATAGCTTCCACTCTCTTGTTGTTATTCCGAGCCTACGCTTACTTCACTTTTGCCGGAAAAGCCTCCGTGGGCCTCCACAAGTCCATGATTCTAAGCGTAGTCAAAGCAACAATGAAATTCTTCGATTTGCATTACATTGGAAACATTTTGAATCGGTTTTCGAAAGATTTAGCCACGATTGACGAAATTTTGCCCCTGAATTTTTACGAGTGCTTGAGTGTGAGTATTTGCGTCACTGGTACCACATTGACTACTATTTTATTTTCAGTTTGTTTGTAGGGTCACTGGGATGCTCATTCTCATTTTGATAGTTCAGTGGACTTTCATTTTACCGGCGATAGTCGTCTTTGTGATTTTATTTTTCCTGCGAAGGTGGTACCTTCCAACTGGGAGGAGCTTAAAACGACTTGATTCAGCAAGTAGGTGCTTTCTATTAGTTGTATTTAGTGTAATGATGCACTTTCAGCCCGAAGCCCGATGATCGGTCACATCAATGCGTCTTTAGAAGGTCTAACAACCATCAGAGCCTACGGTACTCAACAAATCCTCAAGAAAGAGTTCGACAGACACCAAGATTTGTATACCTCGACGTTCTACATGATGCAGTCCACATCAAGAGCTTTTGCCTACTTCCTAGACATGCTATGTAATTTTTTCATTATCGCAATCGTGTTGAGGTTCGTCGTAGTCCGGAAAGGTGAGTTTTTGGCCATTTTGACACCCGTCTTGAGATAGTTTTGTAGACACGCTGGCTGGAAATGTTGGTTTAGCGATAACTCAAGCCCTTGGTCTCACCGGTCTTCTCCAATGGGGTATAAGACAGTGGGCGGAGTTAGAAAACCAGATGACCTCAGTCGAACGAGTCGTGGAATATATAAACGTGGAACAAGAGAACCGAAGTGGACAATCCATCGACAATTGGCCCCAAAAATGCAAAATCACCTACAAAGACGTCAATCTGACATACGGGAAATCGAAAGACTACGTTCTGAAAAATATCAATTTTACTATAAACTCGAGAGAGAAAGTTGGCATTGTGGGGAGAACAGGTGCTGGAAAATCGTCACTGATATCAGTTCTTTTCCGGCTGTATCAGTACGATGGTACTATAAGCATAGACGACGTGGACATTAGAACTCTGTCTTTGGAATTCTTGAGATCGAATATCTCCATCATCCCTCAGGACCCTATTCTCTTTAGTGGTACCATTCGTGACAATATAGATCCGACGGGACGGTACAAGGATCACGAGATCTGGAAGGCTATCAGTACTACTCGTTTAAAAGACATAGTGCCCAGTTTAGATTACAGAATTACGGAAGGAGGGTCTAATTTTAGTGCTGGACAAAGACAGCTGATTTGTTTAGCCAGAGCTGTTATAAGTAAGAGTAAGATAATTGTGTTGGATGAGGCCACGGCGAATGTAGATCCGGAAACTGACGTCATGATCTATACTACGATCCAGGAGTGTTTTGCGGAATGTACTGTTCTAATGATTGCTCATAGATTACACACTGTGTTGTATTCTGACAAGGTGATGGTGGTAGATAAGGGGGAAATCGTGGAGTTTGATAATCCGAATGTGTTGCTCGATAACAAGAATGGGGCCTTCTACAAAATGATTGAACAGGCGAATTTATTGAAATAGGTTATATTTTTAGAGAGAGTTGTATGTTTTATAGAAACTTCCAAAGGACAATAAAATTTTTCTATTTACTGTACCTGTATTGTTTTTTATTTATTTTTTTTTCGTCGGAATTTTTGCGCTCTTTATGTCTTTATTACGAATTATATATTAGTTGAGGTTAATCGATTTTGCGCTTGAGTGTATAGGCAGCCAGCCACACACACACAAATTATTAAAAATTTACACGCTTGTTATAAAGTTTCACATGCAAATTATGTATTCCTGGTTCGCGGACTGTCTATAAAAATGTCGTGGACATGCAATATAAGAAATGAATGTGGATTGATTGATTTATGTATAAATTTTTGCTTCATACTTTTCGGAATATTGCTTACGTCATCAATTTCGGTTCGGTAAATAAGTGAAATCTCTGCAACTGTAGTTAACGATCAGAACTTCTGCTAGGATAGTCAACGCCGATAACAAAATATTTTTTATTTCCTTCAAACATGACAGTTAGATTAGTAATCACTCCGTAGTTTTGGGTTGTCTAAAAGTTTCCTTTTTTAAAAACGGTCTTAAAAAAAAGTTAGCTCACGATACGTATTTCAAGCGAGTTTTGTGTAATTCTGATGACTTCGTCAACTTTTTATCAAAGACAAGGTAAAAGCGTCAAAAAAAGACAAAAAAAAAAGAGAAACAAAGGAGGACAGAAAGGGGGATAACAAAACATGAACAAAAAAGACAACAAAAAAAGTAACATGAAACGCCAAAAAAAGGCGACAAAAACAAAAAAAAGCAAACAAAAAACGATAAAAAACAACAAAATAAACGACAACAAAAGGGACGAGAACAACAATCAATGTCATCCTTTTTGCCCTTTCCGTTCTTTTTCGTCTTTTTCGTAATTTTTCATCCTTGTCGTCCTTTTTCGTCCGTCTCGACCTTTTTTGTCATTTTCGATCTTTTCGTCCTTTGTCGACCTTTTCGACCTTTTCGTGCTTTCTTGGCCTTTTTCGTCCTTTTCGACCTTTTCGTCCTTTTTCGTCCTTTTTCGTCCTCTTCGTACTTTTTCGTCCTTTTTTCGTCCTTTGCCGTCCTTTTTCGTCCTTTTTGTCCTTTTTCGTCCACTTCGTCCTTTTCGTCCTTTTTCGTCCTCTTTCGTCCTCTTCCTCTTTCGTCCTTTTCGTCCTTTTTCGTCCGTTTCCTAATTTCTCGTCCTTTCTGTCCTTCTTCATCCTTTTCGTCCTTCTTCGTCCTCTTTCGTCCTTTTCGTCATTTTTCGTCCTTTTCCTAATTTCTCGTCCTTTCCGTCCTTTTTCGTCCTTTTCGTCCTTTTTCGTCCTTCGTCCTTTTTTCGTTCTTTGTCGTCCTTTTCGTCCTTTATCGTCCTTTTCGTAATTTTTCATCCTTTGTCGTCCTTATCGACCTTTTCGACCTTTTCGTCCTTTTTCGTCCTTTTCGTCCTTTTTAGTCCTTGTCGACCTTTTCGTCCTTTTTCGTCCTTCGCGACCTTTTTCGTCCTTTTCGACCTTTTCGTCCTTTTTCGTCCTCTTTCGTCCTTTTCGTCATTTTTCGTCCTTTTCCTAATTTCTCGTCCTTTCCGTTCTTTTTCGTCCTTTTCGTCCTTTGTCGTCCTTTTTCGTTCTTTTTCGTTCTTTTCGACCTATGTACATACAATAAAAAAAGGGCAGGGGAAAAGGTGTCAAAAAATCGATTAAAATAGACAAAAAGGAGACAATAAGTAGTGACCCAAAAAACAACAATAAAGCCATAGAAAATGTGACAAAAGGACGAAAAAAAAAGACAAAAACTGGGGACATAAAAACGAAAAGTAGAGTCCGGAAAAAGCGACAAAAAGAAAGGCGGACAGAAAAAGCGTTTAAATAAACAAAAAAGATTCCACAAAAGGCAGAAACAAGGGGAATAAAAACGAAAAGAAGACTCCGAAAAAATCAACAAAACAATTGACAAAATATTCAAAAAAAAATGGTCGAAGGTTATTTTGACAGCACTTCGCCCGCGCCTGAAATACAACAAAACAAATCCAGCTATTTTGAAAAATTGTAAAATTTGAGTATGCGGATTTTATTTTTTTAAAAGAACTGTTATAAGTCAAAATAAAGATATGTATGTAACGTTGAAGTCCAAATGTGTTTTCCCTTAACAAAATTTTGTGAAGGTAAAGAACGAAAACGCGAAAAAAGTTACCGAAAAAACGACAAAACAAACGAAAAAAAAGAACAACTTATAATGCGACAACAAAAGCGATAATAAGAAACGACAAAAAAGTAATAAAATAATCGACAAGATACATAGACACACAACAAAAAAAGTACAGGAAGAAAAGGTCACAAAGATTAAAACATACAAAAAGGGACAAATAGAAGGCGACAAAAAAGGCGACACAGGCACAGTATGAAGTCATCAAAAAAATCAACAATAAAGCCATAGAAAATACAACTAAAGGACGAAAGGGATACAATAAAAACTAAAAAAAGGGCGACATAAAAATGAAAAGAAAATTTCTATAAAAGTGGCAAAATAATCGACAAAATATAAAACAAAAAAAAAGGTGGTCAGAAAAGGCGACTGAAAAAACAAAACAACGAAAAAACAAACGAGAAAAAAAGGAACAAACAAAGGACACAAAAGACGACACAAATAGAGACAATAAGATGCGACCAGAAAAGGCAACAAAAAGCGACAAAACGACGAAAAAGATTGCACAAAAGGAGAAAGGGGAACAAAATCGAAAAGGAAACTCCTGAAAAAGTGACAAAACAATCGACAAAATAAATTAAAAAGGACGGGGGGAAAAGGAACAAATATTGGATGATCAAAAAAAAACGCAACAAAAAGACGACAAAACAGGGACAATAATATGTGAACAAAAAAACAAGAGGAAAAAAACGGCAAAAAAAAGAAAAGGAAGCAAAAAAGGCAATAAAAAATTTAAAAGAATTAATAACCAACTCCGATCCTCTTATAGTACTATAACAGTGTTTTATTAGTGTTGTTAGATTCAGGTATTAAGGTTATTTTTAAAATAGCCGTTTATTGAACAACATTAGCTTTTATTCGATTTCGTTTTTTTTTTGGGAAACTCTAGAAGCCTGGGACAAAAAATGAAGCGGATTCATGATCCAGAATCTTATTTTGAAAAATTTAAATAGTTTTTTTTCAAAATTCAGGTATATTTTAGTCAGCGTTTAATATGTACAGGATATTCTTCACAACAATCGATCCAATAGTTTCGAGACAAAAGGAAAGGGAGACCTATTTTTTTATAATCTAGGCTATTTGAATTGGCCGTAAAATTAACCAACTCTAAGAAAATTTTCTTGCACTATTTCGCCAAACAATTACCATTTTTAAAAATTTCGATTAAAGCATTTACAATAGTTTCAGAAGTGGAAAACTCTTTATTTAAATTTAAATAACGTTTACAGGTCGAAGAGATTGGCTAACACGGATTAATCACTAATCAGTAATGATAGCAGAAGGCTTGTCTGAATGTCAGTTATTTCGTGGTTGGTGGTCAGCACTGGTTTGAAATAATAATGATAATAATAATAATAGTATTCGTTGTCGGCGTCATATTTGTAAAAGTGAGGACAGACTTGTGATACCGTTTATGTAATTCACAAACCTGAAAATTTTCAAAGCTAACGTATAACACATTTTTGAAATTTTTCGGTATATAATCTTCGCCTCAGATCTTCTAAAATAGCCTCGAAATCATAATTAAAACACACACATCCGCTGACAGACAATAATTACATTTCGCGGTGCTTAATTAATATTCCATTACGAGCGCTACCACAACTGTATGCAAATTGACTAAAATATGAAGTCACGGAACTTTTTAAAACATGCGCTTTCCTTAACAGAATTTAATAAAACTCAAACACGTCCAAGCCTCCCGTCACAGTGAAAAAATGATGGAAAATTTCAGTTTCCTAACTTAAAATCTTCACACATGAACTAAGTATGACTAATTTTTTATTAATAATAAAGCTCCATCATACAGTTGAACACTTGTTGAACACGCTGTACAATGTTTTCTACTTTACCTGTTGTTATTTAAAAAAATGGAAAATCTAGTCGCTACTGTGAAATGAAATGACTGAAACAAATTTTAAGGTTGGCAATTATGAATTACACTATGCAACAAATTAAAAAAAAATAAAATTCACAGAATGCACAGTATGTAGTTAAAATTTCTTACCTCAAACTCAATTGAGGATCATGCTTGAAAGAATCGTATCACATCAGGTTTCAAAGTGAAAAGTGTTTATTGAATTTTTTGAAATCATACAAAATTAATAAAACAAAACTTCATTTTTCATTGAAAAAGGTCTTTTTTTTCGAATGATTGGCATTCTTATTGTAGCCAGATCTCGCAATATCCCTCTGAAGACACCAACAGAAGTCTGGTGGATACATAAAAGCGATATTTTTACGACTAAATGCAATCAAGTGTCCCAAAAAGTAAGAAAAACAAAACACCCGTTAGCTATGTTTTGTGATGTGATATGAGTATAAAACATTTTTTTCTTTAGTATATGGAGTATAGGTACTCAACATATCACATCAGGTATCACAATGAAAAATGTTTATTGAATTTTTTGAAATCATACAAAATTAATAAAACAATACTTCATTTTTCATTGAAAAAGGTCTTTTATTTCGAACGATTGGCATTCCTATTATAGCCAGATCTCGCAGTATCCCTCTGAAGACACCAACAGAAGTCTGCAAGCATGGGTGGATACATAAAAGCGATATTTTTACGATTAACTGCAATCAAGTGACCCAAAAAGTAAGAAAAACAAAACACCCGTTATATATGTTTTATGATGTGATATGGGTATAAAGCATTTTTTCTTTAGTATATGGAGTATAGGTACCCAACCTATCACATCAGGTATCACAATGAAAAGTGTTTATTGAATTTTTTGAAATCATACAAAATTACTAAAACAATACTTCATTTTTCATTAGAAAAGGTCTTTTTTTTCGAACGATTGGCATTCCTATTGTAGCCAGATCTCGCAGTATCCCTCTGAAGACACCAACAGAAGTCTGCAA